CCCCCCCCCCCGTAGTTTTGGGGCCATGTGCATGCTAGGCACTTGTGCTCCCAGCAGCAGTCCTCAAGTTGCTGTCTTTTTTTTTTTTTAAACCCTCGCCCAAGGACCTTTTTCCTATTGCTTTTCAGAGAGAGTGGAGGGAGAGAGAGACATCGATGTGAGAGAGACACACCAACTGGTTGCCTCCCACACGCACCCCGAATGGGACCAAGCCTGCAACCTAGGTACATGCCCTTGGCCGGAATCGAACCCAGGATCCTTTAGTCCGCAGGCTGACACTCCAACCACTGAGCCAAACCTGCGAGGGCAAGTTGCATAGTCTTGTAAAATCTGAATCGGATTCTGTTAGAACTGAGAGACATGGACTCATGTCTCCAGGCTCCTTGTCACAGGATGCATTTTCAGCTGCATCAGGCTCCCTCCTGCCCCCTACTCAGTCTGTCTTCCCCCTGAGGCCTGAGACTAGGGTGAGGTAAATGAGGCATTTTCTTCAGGTATAAAACTTAAGGGACCACCAAAAAGCCCAGTAATCCAGATAAATAATATTTTAATACAATATTTAAAAAGGCAAAATGAATGCAAAAACATCCATAATGAACAAAACCAAAAATCTAGTAAAGACAGGGTCCAACCCTGGATTGCAGGACTTGGCCTCACTTCCCTCACCCTAATTCCAGTCCTGTGGGACTCTGGTATTTGATATTTTATTGAAGATATTTTTTACATTCGTTTTGATTTAAATATCTTTAATCTTGATCACTGAGTTTTTTGGCACCTTCTTAAATTTTTCACCTCAGGTGAATGCCTCACTCAACTCACCCTAGTCCTGGCCCTGCTCCCCACTTCCTGTTGGGCCGGGTACCCCTGCTCCCTTCAGTTCTCACTGCCTCAGGTTGGGGGCTCAGTTTCCGCCTGAGCTGGGGCCCCACCGTGGGTGGTCCTTCCTAAATGCCCGCCCTCCACTGCATCCTCAGACACCCCCAAGAGGGCCTGCAGGTTGCCATGGTCACCACTCTGGTAACTGGAAGATAGACACCCTGTAATCATGTCCAGCCAGGGCGGGATTGTAGGCCTGCCCAGTAGAGTCCCTGCTGCACGAATCCCAGGGGACACTAAAGCATTGCTGCACGTGTATGGAGATGGAGAAACTTACAGTCGCCTGACTCCCTCCCTGGGCGAGGACAGCGTGTGGCTAATGGAAAACTGTGATGATCTGTTTGCGACAGGGAGGCGAAGTGCTGAAGTAGACATGGATGCTGGCTAACCAGCCTTCTGCAGAGGGTAGGTCTGATTCACTGAAGGGCTTTTGCTTTGCTGAGCGGGATCTCTGGTGTACACCTGTCACCGGAGCATCCCTCCCCCTGCACCTCTTCCCCTTGTGCCCTGCCCCCCCCCCCAGCTGTGCTCAGCTTGTCTAAGGGTTAAACATTTCAGAAAACTCCATGCTGAAGGGGTGCCCAGGATGCCATGTTGAAGGGGACTCGAGGCATTATCATATCAAGGTCCAGGCCTAGGTCCATCGGCCACTCTGTCCCCTGATGCCATGACCGTGGGAGGCCCGGATTTCTCAGGTGAACAGCTCTGCCCACACTGTTCTCCACAGTCTCCCTTCTGAGGCCTCTGTAGCACCGCAGAGCCGCACACTCCAGTCACCCAGCCTGGCAACGGGTCACCCAGTGCCTGCTCTGCCGCTGACTAGGCCAGTCACTTCCCCCTGAGCCTGAGTTTCCTCGTCTGGGAAATGTCAGTAATAGTGCCCTCCCTCAAAGGCTGTGCTCACCATTAAAACAGCTAGCGTGTGGAAATGCTCTAACACTGCAAAGTGCTGGGACAGCCCGAGAGTCATGTTCTGCAGGGCTCTGGAAGACAGAATAGAACCAAAGGGAAGTGTGTTTGGGCTTGAGTTGAAGTGGAGAAATTGCCAACTGCAAAGGTGGAGGGACTGCTCTGGAGAGAGTGAGCCCTCTGGCGCTGGAAGTGTGCACACAGAGGTTGCAGAATCACTTGTCAATCAGCTGAGCTTCAAAGGGCTTCCTGCCCCGGGAGATGTGATCCTTGAGGGATGTAGTCCATTCAGTCCTGAGGTTCCCCGATTCTTTTTGTCCATCCTTCCCCAGTCCTCCTCAGGGTGTCATGTAGCTGAGCCCCACCACCAGCGTCAAGGTGAGGATGGGCCCCCTTGGAGGAAGCTGGCTTCACCTGTGGTTGATATGGCTGGTTTGCATTCCCTGATTTAACGTGTGGACCAGTGTGTAAACCTGAGATCTTGAGCAGGAAGGGGACCAGGGAAGACACTGCTTGAGAAGGTGGTGGCCTGAGTATTAGTCTTGAGATGTCCTTGGACACTAACCGGGAAGTTCCATCCAGCCCACAGGATGGAAGACATCTGAGAGTTTATGAGAAGCAGAGGGAGGAGGTCTCCAGTTCCAGGTGGGCACACACATACATGTCCCCACCCGGAAGCTGCTGTGCGCAGTGTGTCTGCTCAGGAGCCCTCCATGCTGGCTTTGGAGCTTTGAGACTTGTGTCAAAGTGGAGAGGACAGCAGACTGAGGGCTGGGGGACCTGGCTCTGACCTCTCCTCCCTCTGATTTTCCCACCTGTGACATAAAGGGTGGAGGATGAGATGACCTTCTCAGCGGACAGCCTGTGGTCCTCTCTCTTCTGGAGGCCATGGGCATTAACAGAATGGGCTCACCTGTGCACCCTCCTCCCCAGCTGCTTACCGTCTCCCCACAAGTCTTTTCCTGTCTGCTTGGCAAGACCGAGGGGCCAAAGCCTCCAGGGTCTAGTCAGAGTGGGGTCAGCAATGTCTGGCTTTGCATCTAGGCATCATTTTCCCTCAGAAATTTGAAATTGAATCCCAGAAAGTCTTGATTATTGCTTTAAACACTTACTGAAGAGTGTGGCTAAGGATGGACAAGAAGAGGGAAGAAGTGGGACTGGAGATAGGAAGAGATAGGCAGAGGTGACGTGACTCGGGAGTTAGAGTGAGCGCCTGGTGGTAGGTGAGGCTGGATGGGCTCTCAGGACTTGGGCAGAGCACAGCAGCTTGGATCCTGCCCTGAGGCAGCTTCTGAAGGGTTTAGGCAGGTTGGAGGCAATCAGATTTGCATTTAGCACACAGCTCACTCTGGTGCCAGCCGAGGACCGATTTGAGAGGAGCACGTTGGAGGCAGACACCATCCTGACGCCAAGATCTGGGCAACAGACACGGTGGCCCTACCATGGATGTGGGTCTAGGGAAGGGGGTGGGTGCAGATGAGAGTTGCTTGGTAGGTGGCTTCAGAAGGGTTTGATGGTTGTCTGCATTGGCACAGAAGGTGGACAGGGAAAAGCAGGAAGCTATGATGGTGCCTGGGGGGCTAGATGTGTCACAGAGACAGAATGTGTAGGACAAATGCTCAGACTCACAGGAAGTCCTCAGCTGCATGCCTCGGTATGAAGTGCTGTGGGACATCCAGGGGGATGTGTCCAGAGAGCAGGTAGGCGAAGGAGTCTAGATGTTAGGAGAGGGATGAGCCCACGATGCAGGCGTGGACATTCTTGATGTAAGAGTTGTGGGAGTTGAAGCCCTGTGAGGGGATAAGATGACTCAAGTACACTTTAGGTGGAGAGAGAAGACAAGAGGGCGAGAACAACAGACAAGGAAATCCTAGATCCTCCGTGATCCCTCATGGGGGCAGTGTGCGTGTCCCCAGCACAGAGCCTGCTACTGAGCCTCCTTAGCACAGGGCTGGCCACAGAGAGAGTGTCAGTGAATGTGGTCCTCTGGCTGTGGTCCTCCAGATGGGGCCTTTGTTCTCTGTGCATCTGGCTTTGCCTGGGTTGCTATAGTAACCACAGATGCAGGGATGCACCCTCACTCTGTTGCTGTGGAAATTGGCAGTTGGGTGTCCCTGAGTGGCATGGCTGCTTAGGCCTTGGGTATTCAGTCTGGTCCTGAAGGGCCTAGGAGGGAGACTGTGGCCAGCAGAGAGGGTTTCTGAGTCCTAATGAATCCGTGATGATTGCTAGCCTAATGGTTGCCATGGTGATGGAGGAAGACCCCAGTGGCTTGTGCTAGCTTCAAGACTGAGCTGAATGAGACAAGGAACTGCATCAGGTTCCAGGTTGTATGCAGCCCAAACAGCACCAGCCCCCAAACTCTGCCCATCCTCTTGCCGCATGGGGCCTAAGACCCTTTTGTGTTCTTTCTGGGTTTGCGCCCGTTTGCCAAGACAGGGATTTTGTCCCCAGGAGGCACTCCCCGGCCCATGGGATCTCAGCATTCAAAGCAACACAGGAAACCTGGGCCCCTGAAACGAGGCCACCGAAGAGATCGGTAAGCACTCAACATCCCCACTTCTAGCCCATGGACCCCACCTTGCGACCGTTTCACCCCCCCAGTGACCTCACCCCTTTGCAGTTCCAAGGCCTTCCCTTCCCCATCACCACATGGGGTTCCACCTTGCACCCCTTCCAAAGCCTGGGCTCTGGACAGGTGAACAAGGAGGGCTCCCTCACCTGCCCAGGATCTCAGGGGCTTCCTCCACTGTGAGTGAGGCCTCTGCCCTTGGCAGCTCCACGCTCCTGCCCTCTGCCTCATCTGTTGGGCTCCTACTTCCAGCCTCCACCCCTGCCCCGTGCTTCATTCCCACAGCTCTGGTCATTACCACCCTCATTCGGGGCTGCCTGCCTGCTGTCCTGGGCCCCAAAGAGTGAGCACCCGACGGAAGTCCCTCCACCCTGATCCCACTTAACTCCCATCTGAAGTGGCCAAGACCGGGGCCCTGAAGGAGGCCTTGAGTGACTGCGGTCTGGCCAGGCAAGGGGCAGGAATGCTGAGGTGAGGCAACATGGGCGTGGAGTCATCCCTGCTTTTCCCCCTCAGGAGAACAACCAGGAGGAAGTACTGGAAGGAAGGAAGGGAGATCGCTCGGTGAGCTGGCTGGGAAAGGGCCACCCGCAGGACACTGCAGGGAGGTGGTGGGCAGGCCGTGGGCAGCTTGGTGGCCACGGACCCCATCTGTGCTGGGGTGTGTGTGTGTGAAGTGGGGTCCTGGGAGGGTGTGACCCCTAAGCAAAGTCTGCACTCACTGTGGCTGTTGTGGCCTTGGTTTGTTCCTGCTAGAGCCTCCTGTGGTCCTTTTGCCCTGACTTCAGCCAGGTGGTGCTCATGAGAAGGCCCAGAGTCCTGGTTTTGCTCCCCATTCTGTCCTGGGCCTCTCTCAAAAGATGGGCAGAAACAGCTGCCCTGTGAGGAAGGGAGCTCAGCCCTGTGGACGTATGAGACAAGATGGTGGGGTCCCCTCTCCACCTGCAGCATGGCTGCTGAAGGTCCCCAGCACCTGAGGAATCCGTCTGCCCTTCCAGGGACCAGGCCAGAGAAATAGGGGGCCATCTGGGGCTCTGGTCTGCCCCCACATGGTTGTTGGTCCTGGGTGTCTGACGGGGTCTGTGATGAGGGTGCCCTGAAAGGGCAGCTCTGTGGAGAGCCATGGGTCTCAGGTACGGCCCACGGCCAGGGCCTCCTTTCCTACACGCAGCATCAAACCAGGGTCACTTTTTAGACTAAAGAAAATCTCATGAAGAGAAAGATGGGAGGAGTGGTGCATCCCTTGAGCCAACTGCAGAGACTCTTGGGCTAGAGTGTGGGGGTAACAAGTGGTGAGTCCCGGGGGGTGACTCCGCTGCATGATTCTAACGAGGCTGGAAGACTGCAGCTCATGCGTCCCCTGCAGCTGGCACACCCACCTCCCATGCACTGTCAAGGCTGCTGGAGTTTTTGAGATCCTACATCCAACCCCTTGTCTAACAGGAAAAACAGAGGCCTCAGGGCAGGGTCACACTGCAAGTTCATGGCAGAATCAGGACTAGAAAATAGGCTCCCTGCTCACGGCTCTTTCTCTGCACTGCAGGCCAGAGAGCCAGCCTTGCTGTGTGGGCGTCAAGAGCCTTACTGGGAGTGGTCCTTCGGTTATGACTTTGCTTCATGTGAACAGAGGCCCTGGGCATATTGTGGACTACGTAGCTATGGCTGATGGCTGGCTGGCAGGGATTCCTGGGTGTCTGGGATGACTCGTTTCTGGGATTTGGCGTCTCTCTACCCAGGGCCCGCAACACTGCTCTGTCTCTGCATGTTGACGGGCTCTGCCAGTATCCCTAAAAACTGTGGAATTCAAGATGGTGCCAGTGAGTGTGATGTTCCACCCACAGCGGCCAGTCCTGTGTGGGCACATGGCTGTCAGTGCATGGACAAGGGAGGTGAGAAGAAGCCAGGTGACCTCCGGGTGAGAGCTGAGCTGTAGGGACCTATCTCCACAGGCTGGGAAGAGCCATAATTAACGGCAGAGTTAGGTGGTTTAGCCATAGCCGTAGCCAAGTGGGGACACAGCATTCCCTCTCTCCTCTGTATTCCCATTCACCCCACTTTCCACTGTAACTCAGTTAAGGAACAAAACAAAAATACCTCAAGTCTGCCCCCTCTTCTCTCTCCTGCCCTTCTCAGCCCAGCCTGTTGAATCGAAGCTGGTGATTATGGGCTCTGCTTCCTCCTGGGTCCTCAGTGCACTGCAGCCTGGCTTCCGCCCCACTGCAGCCCCCACGCGCCTCATGCCCGTGTCGCCAGTGATTGTCGCTGCAAACCCGGCGGCAGCCTCTCAGTTCCTGGCTGGCTTCGCAGCAGCGCTGGACGTGACCCAGCGCCTGCCCCTTGGAGCCCGCCTCCCCTGCATCCCACACCCCGCGCTCTCCTTTCCACCTCCACGCTGATAATCACGCCTGTTTCCTTCATGAGATTCCCTGCTCTCTGCCCTGGGCATGCTCTTGTCCCTCAGGATTCCGCCCTGGTCTTTTTCCCCCTTCCCCGGTCTCTGCCGGCCATTCATTCCCGCGGCTTCACCTTCCATCTCTAAGCTGATGGCCACAGCGGCTCCCTGGGCCTTTCTCCTTCGTTTCATTTTTTCATTTCAGTTCTGTCCATTTTTGCTCCATGTGTATTGGAGCTCTGTGTTAGCTACATAAACGTTTAAGGTTGTATCCTCTCAAGAACGTAAGCCCTTCATCAATGTGAAATGTCCTCCTTTATGTCTGGCAATATTTCTTGTTCTGAAGTCCAGTTGGCCTGATGCTCATTTAATCAGCCCAGCTTTCTGTTGAGTGTTTGTATGGCATAGCTCTCTCCATCCTTTTACTTTCAATCTCTCTGACTTCGTATTTAAAGTGGATTTCTTGTAGAAAGCAAATAGGTAATTCTGTCGCTTTTATCCAGTCTGACAAGTTTGGCTTTTTAATTGGAGTGTTCAGACCATTTCCATTAAATGTCAGTATGGTTGGGTTTACATCTACCATCTCACTCTTGGTATGCTATTTGTCCCACTAGTTCTTCATTTCCCTTTTCTGCTTTTCTTGCTTTCTTTGAGATTGGGTATTTTTTTATGATTCTCTTTTATCTCCATTGTTAGCTCATTAGTTGAAACTTTTTTTATGTTTTGGTTTTTCTTAGTGGTTGCTTGCTCTAGGACTTACAGTATACATCTTCAACTTGCCACAGTCTACCTTGAAATAATATTATACCACTTCATGGATGTCATAAGAACCTTACATTGGTGTACCTCCATCCCCCCTTCTTATCCTTGAGCTGTTACTGTCATGCATTTTGCCTTTAGCTATGATATAAACCCAACAATACATTGTTATTATTTTTGCTTTAAACAGTCAATTACCTTTGTTTTAAAAAACACTTTTATTGGGATATAATTCATATACCATATAATTTACCTATTTGTAGTATATAATTTAATGAGTTTTAAATTGTACAACCATCACTACAATCAAATTTAGAACATTTTTGTTTACTCCACCCCCCCAAAAAAACCCCATGACCATTATCAGTCACTCCCCTTTTCTCTACCTACACCCTGCCTTACACAAATCATTTACTTTCTATCTTCATAGATTTGCCTATTATGGGCATTTCATATAAATAGAATCATATAACATGTGGTCTTTTGCTATTGGCTTCTTGCCTTAGCCTAATGTTTCCAGGGTGTATCTGTGTTGTAGCCTGTATCAGAACTTCATTTCCTTTCATTGCCAGATGCTATTCTCCTGTGTGGCTATAAACATTTTATTCATTCATTCATCAGTTGGTGGGCATTTGGATTGTTTCCACTTTTTAGCTATTATAAATGATGCCCTGTGAACATTTGTGTACATGTTTCATTTTTCTTGGGCATATACCAGGAGTAGAACTTCTGGGAGACTCTAGGTTCAACCTTTTGAGGAACTGCCAAGCTGTCCTCCAGAGTGGCTGCAACAGTTCCCATCCAGTTCCTAGCAGTGTATGAGATGCCAGTTTCTACACTTCCTTGCCAATGCATGCTTTATCTGGGATTTTAATTATAGCCATCTTAGTGAACATGAAGTGGTATCTCATTGTGGTTTTGACGTATCTTTCCCTGGTGACTAGTAATGACTAATGATATGCCTATAGGCCATTTGTATGTCTTTGGAAAAATGTCTATTCAGATCCTTTGCCCATTTTTAAAATGGGTTATTTGTCTTTTTATTATTGACTTGTAAACACTCTTTATATATTCTAGATACAAGTCCTTTATTAGATAATGATTTGCAAATATTTGATCCCATTCTGTGGGTTGTCTTATTACTTTCTTGATAGTGAAACACAAAAGTTTTAGATTTTAATGAAGTTTAATTTGTTTTTTCTTTTGTTACTTTGTACTTTTGTACTAAGACATCATTGCTTAATCCAAGGTCACAAAGATTTATGCCTATGTTTTCTTCTAAGAGTTTTATAGTTTTAGCTCTTACATTTAGGTCTGTGATTAATTCTGAGTTAATTTTTGTTTGTATCTGTAATGTGAGGTAGGAGGTCCCAGTCATTCTCATTTTGGATATTCTCTTGTCCCAGCACCATTTGCTAAGAAAACTGTTTTTCCCCTATTAAATAGTCTTGGCATCCTCTCCAAAAATCAGGTGACTATAAATGTGAGTTTATTTCTAGATTCTCAATTCTGTATTGATTTGTGTCTGTCCTTATACCAGTACCACACTGCCTTGATTACTGATTACTGTAGCTTTGTCGAAAGTATGAGCTCTCTAAATTAATTATTTTCAAGATTGTTTTGGCTATGCTGGCTCCCTTGAATTTCCAAATGAATTTTAGGACTAGCTTGTCAATTTCTGCAAAGAAACCAGCTGGTGTTCTGATGGATATTGCATTGAATCTGTACATCAATTTGGAGAGTATTGTCACTTTAACAGAATTTAATCTGCTGATTCATAAACAGAGGATATTTATTTATTTAGGTCTTTAATTTCTTTCAAAGAAGTTTGTAGTTTCCAATGAAGTGTCTTACAATTTTTTTAATACGTTTATTCCTTCCCTGGCTGGTGTGACTCAGTTGGTTGGAGCATCATCTCCTACACCAAAGGGGTGGCCGATTCGATGCCCATATTTTATTCTTTTTGAATAAAGTACTTAGGAATTGAATTGTTTACTTCATTTCTTTTTTGGGTTGTTCCCAGAAAGTGTGTAGAAATATAACTGATCTTGTATCCTGCAAGCTTGCTGAACTTACTTATTATTTCTAATTGTTTTTAGTGGATACGTTAGGTTTTCTTTCTACAAAATTATGTCATCTCTGACTAGAGATAGTTTTACTTCTTCCTTTCTAATCCGATGCCTTTTCTTTCATTTTCTTGCCTAATCATCTTGGCTAGAACTTTCAATACAATGTTGAATAGACCTTTCAAGAGCGAGCATCCTTTTTTATCATCTTGGGAGAATACCTTCAGTCTTTTCATTTTTAAGTCTGATGTTAATTTTTGTGTGTGTAGATTCCTTATCAGGTTGAAGAAGTCCCCTTCAGTTCCTAGTTTGTCTAATGATTTTATCACGTAGAGGTGCGGATTTTT